ACGCACACACACACACACACACACACACACACACACACACACACACACACACACACACACACACACACACACACACACACACACACACACACACACACGCACACGTGTTCATCACGCCCCTGCAATCATCCCACGACAGAAGCTCTCGCCAGAGTGCAAGGCGATGCTGCGGGGTGGGCTTGGGGACTGGAGCTTTGACGTGTTCCACTTTGATGTCATATCCGGGTATCGCCCGCTCACGGTGATGGCCGTCGCCATTTGCCGCAAGCGCCGTCTCTTGAAGACCCTCAACGTCAATCAGGTACGGCAGCCGTTGGGTGGGCGGTGGTGATTATGAGGACAGCAGTGGTGATGATGCGATGTGCCTGTCTACTTTGTTCGTCTGTGACAAGTCGCCATAGACACAACCATCACCAGAGTCCTCGTTTCCACTTGCCCACTTGCGCAACACCTACACACACACACACCTGCACACACCTACACACACCTACACACACACACACACACACGCACACACGCACACACGCACACACACCTCCTCCCCTCACTCTCACACACCATCACCACCGTCATCATCACCACCTCTCAGACGACGCTGTGTCGGTTCATGTCGCGCATCGAGGATCGATATGGGCGCTTTCCGCACATCCCATATCACAGCAACATCCACGCAACAGATGTGGCGCACAGCGTGCACAACATGCTCAGCGCACCACGCCTTCAGGGCACGTTTACGGACCTGGAGCACTTTGCGGCCATTGTCGCCGCTGCATGTCACGATGTTGAGCACCCTGGCGTGAACAACCATTTCCTCAAGGCGACGTGGAGCCCGCTCGCCGTTCTCTACAACAACAAGGTGCTGGCGTCACTGCACGCGCATGAACGGACGGAGTGGTTGTGCACAGACTGCGCCGCGTCCATTGTATGCGTGTGCGTGTGCGTGTGTCCAGTGTGTGTGTGTGTGTGTGTGAGTATGTGCGTTTGTCCATTGTGTCCGTGTGTGTACGCGTGAACGTGTGGGTGCCCATTGTGTTTGCATGAGCGTGTGTGCGGTTACGTGTGTGTACTGCCACGTGATTTGGTGTTGCACTGCACCTGCGCGTGTTGCATGAAGCTGTGGTAGTTGCCCCTCTCCCCTCACTCACGATCGCTTTACCAATGTGACGCTTGCACACAGTCTGTGCTTGAGAACCACCATCTCGCCGTGACCTTCCAAGTGATGATGGAAGAAGAACACAACATCCTCGCCCACATGGATGAAGCAAACAAGATGTTGTTCAGGTCAGCTCGCTGTGGTGATTGGTGGTGATGGGGTAATGATTGGTGGTGATGGTAATTGGTGTTGGCGGTGATAGGGCAGTTGTACCGGATACAGCAGGTTAGCCCATCTCTTGCGTGTGTGTGTCAGTGCGTGTGTGCGTATGTGCATAGCTGACACCATTCACCCCACGTCACCACCTGATGATACAGGGAGCTGGTGATTGAGATGATTCTCGGCACAGACACAATGACAAAGCACTCTGCACACCTATCAGCGCTGCACAGCATTGCGGAGAAGCAGCGAATTACGGGCGTTGCCACAGACGAGCCACTGCAGCTCGAGTGAGTGGCTATCGTGCTGTACGCGCGCGCGTGTATGTGCATGGGTGTGTACATGTGTATTCAAGTATGCATGTGCATGTAAACAAACGTACGCCTGCTCGTACAAGCGTTTGCAACCAAGCGCGATCATGTACACCGTCACCGTCAAAGGCATTCTGTCCCCATATGTACGTGTGTGTTTTGGCGTATGCTCACACACCACACCCCTGCCTCCATATCCACCCTCTCCCCCACCCTCTACCCGTGACAGCGATGATGAGCGCATGAAAGTGCTCAAGGCGCTCGTGCACTGCGCCGATCTCGCCAATCCGACAAAGCCCTGGGCCATTGCCAAGGTGGGTTGCTGATTCTGGTGTGTGATGTGGCGTCGTTGGTGCAGCTCCTGTGGCCTTATGGTGGATGATGTGGGAGTAACAGGGGTGGTGATGGTAGGGTGGTGCTTTCCAACTCGCCCTGTTTTGATGTCAATCTCAACACTCTGTGTCACGTGAAGTCCACTATCTCTCTCCCTCACCCCCTTCACACAACCCAACGCAACACAACCCAACGCAACACAACCCAACGCAACACAACCCAACGCAACACATGCACACGACGATACAGTTGTGGTCTGAGCGGATTGTGACGGAGTTCTTTGAGCAGGGTGATCGTGAGCGCGATTTGAAACTCGAGGTTGGCCCTGTCAATGACAGACACAAAGTCAAACTTGCCGCGTCGCAGCTGGGGTTCATTGACTTTCTCGCGCAGCCCATGTGGGAGGCGTGGCAGGATCTGATTGGCGACCAGGACACCGTCTTCATGCGGGTGAGGGATACCAGGGGGCACAGCGTGGCATGTTGCGGATGTGTCGTGTCGTGCCGAGTTCTCACTCGCTCGTTGGTGTTGCTGTGGAGGTTGTGTTGCACCCATACATGTGCACACCCTTACACACACACACACACACCCTTACACACACACACACACACCTGCACACATTTACACACATACACACACATACACACATTTCCACACATATACATACATACACACACTCATCCGCACACACACACACACACACTCTCTCTCTCTCTCTCACTCGCCTAAAATTAACACACGCGTCAACCCCCACACATGCAATCACCTCCCCCCACTTCCCTACAGAACCTGGTGACGAACCGGTCCAAGTGGCAGCAGCTGAAGGACAAGGACGACGGCGTTCCTGAGCACGTGCGCTCGGAGCGGCGTCGCGTGTCGCGTCGTTGGAGTAGCATCCGCTCCATCCCGGCCGTCTCAAACGGCCTTCGTGTACTTCAGGCCGCACACACGCACACGCGGCGGTCGGCCGACCAGCACCGCCACGGCGGCATCTCCCTCTCGCCGTTCACGTCGAGTCCGACACACAGCAACAGCAGCAGCAGCTCGCGACGCGTGCGCTCGAAATCGCGATCACGGCGAACGCCACCGCTCTCGCCAACCCCGAACAACGGACGCCGCGCTTATGGCAGCGGTGACGGCGGTCGTGGCTGCGGTGGTCGGGAAGGTGGTGTTGGTGTTGGTGGTGGTGGTTATGATCGTGCCTCTGTTGGTGGTGGTGGCGGTGGTGGCGCCCGAAGAGATGATGTTGCTCGAGGACCAACCCCTGAAGTTATGCGTGGCGGTGATGGCAATAGCAGTAGCCGTAGCAGCATGGCAGATGATGTTGTGGTTGTGTGATGTTGGTTGTGGGTTGTGGCGTGATGCAACTGCGTTTGATTGGGGCTGCTCGCTCTCACACAAACACACAAACACACACACACACACACACACATGCGTGTGCTGCTGGCTGTGGTCTGACGCGCCACGTTCTCTGCGTCCCTTCTTTCCCTTCTTTCTTTCTTTCTTTCTTTCTTTCTTTCTTTCTTTCTTTCTTTCGTTATTTGTTCTTTCTCCCTTCCACCTCCTGTGTTTGTTTTCGCATGCATGCTGTTCATAATAATGATAACAATTGCTCTCTTGCTGTGCTATTTATCCATAAGTGGGCTCAACCCGCGTAACACGCACCGTGGTGATGACTGGTTTGTCTCTGCTTGAATCGATTGCTTTCGTAGTATCGCTGCTTCACAACGCGCTGTCCAGGTGTGTTAATGCGTGCGCACGGGTCTAATGTAAACATCGCTGATCATGTCACAAGTTGATGTGTGTGTGTGTGTGTGTGTGTGTGTGTGTGTGTGTGTGTGCGTGTGCGGCGGCTGGTTCCGAGCTTCACAAAGCAACACTGTATGTGTATGTCAGCTCGCTAGGTACGTTGCAGATGTGCTCTTGTCGTTTATTGTTGAGAGGGGCCAAACCAAGCGTAACCAATGCACACGTGGGGGCAGAGCAAGGGCATGGGGCACAACATGTGAAAGAAAGAACACGCAACCGTAACCGCCTGTGTAAGCGCACGTGATTGGTTGCGTGACACAACGCTCGTGTGCTTGGTGTGCCCAGTGGCGATGCAAGCACGACACTCAGGGTGCCTCCCTCCCCCAACCCAAACACGGCAGCAGCATGCTACGTTACTTTGATGTGGTTCGTGTTGGCGGAAACGTGGCGCTTGCGGCCCATTGCAGCTTCCCGCCAATGTATGTGCACAGCACATGCAGGTCGTGCGAGAGAATGACGAAATCTGCGTCTGCGCCGTAGTGGAGGTGGCCCTTCCTCTCCTCAATGTTCAACAGCTGCAGCAATCGGTGGTGAAGAGGAGAGGGAAGAAAGGTGATGGTACAGGTGGGGCAGGGAAGAGGGAGGAAGGGACGGTGAGAGGGTGCGAGTGCGCGCATGCGAGCAGAAGTGCGGACTGGTGAACGGTTGTGCGCTTGTGCGTGTGTGCTCAAATGTGTACTGTACGCCTGTCACACGCTCGCGAATGCAGTCGCGTGTGCAGGATGAAAACAACAGCAACATCAACAACATCAGCAACAACAGCACCATAGCACGGCATACAGTGTGCCATCATCACTATACCTGTGCAGGTCGAAGGCTGGCCGCCTCAACAGCACGCGCGGCCCCAGCTGCCCGCGACGTGACAGAGTGGTGCAGTTGGTGCAAGAGTGCCCGAGGATGCGATTGTCGTGCAAGGTGATGTGCCGTGCAAGGTGAGCAAAGCGAAAGCAGAACGTGCGCGGCAAGTTGTGTGTGTGTGTGTGTGTGTGTGTGTGTGTGTGTGTGTGTGTGTGTGTGTGTGTGTGTGTGTGTGTGTGTGCGTGTGTGTGCGTGCGGTTGGGCATTTGAACGACCGACACATTAAAGGTGATCACACATGCCATGCATGCAAACGCGCACCGAATGTGGAGAAGCGGCGAACACACACGTCCATCGACACCGCGCTGCAAAGACAAACGCCGTGGGAGGAATACCATCCAACAAGATAAGATGAACACGTGTGCGTGAGTCGGTGAGCATGTCAGCATGTGTGTGTGCCTTGTGTGTGTGCGTATGTGTGTGTGTGTGTGTTCGTGTGTGTGTGTGTGTGTGGAGAGCAGTTACGAGGTTTGCGATGCAAAGCACACACACACACACACACACACACACACACACGCACACATGCACACATGCACACACCTGCCAGCGAGGGTGTCTGTTCCCTTGAGTGTGAGTCTGTGGTTGTGGTCGAGGACAACAGCCATGTCGCCAAGATGGTGTTCGCCCGGCGGTAGCCCCATCGCCTGTGTTGCATCCGTTATCAGCACGCAGCCTGCAGTCATGTGGTGGTGGTGACGACGTGAGTGGTTTGGTTGGGTGTAGCTACAGTAGGAGGAGGCAGGGGGGGATATTGGTTGGGAAGTGGCACTCAGCCTGTTGCATCACAGCTGGCTCGTTCACACAGACAGACACACAGACACACACAGACAGACAGACAAACAGAAACACACACACACACACTTGCACATACACACACAGACACACACAGACACACAGACACAGACACACAGACACAGACACAGACAGACACACACACACACACACACACACACACACACACACACCCGACCTTCGGGGTGGTTTGCATATGCGAGGCGCATGGATGCGTCGTGTGTGTGCAGTCCGTCAACAATGAGGCCATAGAAGAAGCGATATCTGCCCTCGCCACCATACGGCAGCAGCCCAATGATGCCGGGGTCCCTGAATTCGAGGGCGAGGTGGTGTCGTGAGAGTGACGTGGTGGTGTCGTGAGAGTGACGTGGTGGGCATGTAAAATGAGAACAAGGTACACGCACATGCATTCAGATATATATGCACAGGCACAGGCACAGGCACAGGCACAGGCAGGCAGGCAGGCAGACAGACAGGCAGACATACACACACATCCCCAACACACAGACAGACAGACAGACACACCCCCAACACACACACACACACAGACACGCACATAGGTTCCAGACCTGTGGTGAAAGGCTGTCATTGCGTTGAAGAGGTGGGTTATGGAGGAAGCACCCATGAGCATGCCGCGCTCTGCTTGCTCAAGTGTCGCGTGCGTGTGTCCGAGGCTGACAACAATCCCGCGCTTTCGCAGGTCCTGAATGACACGTGGCGCGTGCTCCAACTCCGGCGCCAGCGTGACGATGGCGACGTTGCTGAGGTCTGGGCCATATGTGGTCTCGATGCTCGCCATGCCGGCCTCCAGTGGCTGGATGAGATGCTTTGGGTGTGCGCCTTTCTTGTCGGGGTTGATGAAGGGGCCTTCCAGGTGCACACCAAGCACAGCCGCGCCGGCATCTCCGCCATCAGCCTTCTTCATCTGCGTTGGGCCAAAGGAGGAAGAGGAGGAGGTTGGGGGCGACGGTGAAGGTGAGATGCAATGGCAGACAAGGAGACAGACAGACAGGCAGACAGACAGACAGATGGAAACAGCAGACAAAACACAGACAGGAAAAAACACACACACACAGACAGACAAGCAGACACGCACACACACACACACACACACACAGACAAGCAGCCACACAGACAAGCAGCCACGCACACACATCCCATACACCTCCACACACACACGCACACACATTCACACATTCACACACACGCATCCACACATATGCTCAGCGCCGCTGAGCGTACTTTGGGCAAGATGTCGTGGTAGCGCTCTGGAGAGGATGTGATGATGGTGGGGCAGAACCCCGTGACGCCTTGCTTAAGGAGGGCGCGGCGCACCTTGGCAATACCATCCTCGATGTCGTTGCTGTGTGAGGACGAGAAGTCAACGCCGAAGCACCCATTCAGCTGCACGTCAATGAAGCCGGGCGCGATCATGTTGCCTTGTGCATCCACCACCACGTCAGCCTGAACACACATCAGCGGGTGGGTGTGGGAGAGAGTGTGAGTGAGGGAGTGTGGGTAAGGGGCGGTAGGGTGTGTGAGTGAGCGCCGTGTGCGCAGTATGCAGACACAGACACAGGCACCGACACACACACACACACACAGACACACACACAGACACACACACAGACACAGACAGACAGACGAACACACAGACATACACACAGAGAGACAGACAGACACACACACACACACACACACAACCCCATGTCTCCCCGTACCTGGGCCTTGGTCGCGAAGAAGAGATCACGAGGGTTGACAACCTTGCCATCCTGCACCCAAAGGTCCTCTCGAACAAACTCCCCATGCTGCAACAGCAACCCGTTGATCACCCTTAGGATCATCGCGTGTGCCTCACACTCACCTCTTGCAGCTGCGTGTTCAAGGGAGTCTGTGCCCAGAGCCAATCACCAGCACCGCCAACCACCAACCAGACCGATCAAAGTGCAAAGTACGGCAATGCTCGCGACAGCAGCCAGAAGTAAGCAGCGTTGTCACCGTTGTCAGCGTTGTTGTCAGTGTTGTTTGTGTGCATTTCCCAATACGAAGTGAAGATGGGAAGAAGGACAGTGGGGCTGCTGACACCACAGCGGTTGTGGCTGGTGCCTGTTGTGGGCCTGTTGGGGAGTGTGCTGGCATGGTACAGGCTTGTGCAGGAGCACCACGGAGGCGATGAGGGTGGCAGCAGTGGCAGTGCAGTTAGTGGTGACAAGGGCCCCCAGCTGTGGTGGCTGCGAGAGAAGCCGCCTGCGTGGCAGAGGGCCGTGTCCAACTTCACCAGCCACGGCACGGACTCTGCGTGGCTCACCGTCGTGTACCTGTCACTGGTGGCGACGCAGGCCTTTGTTCTGCGACTCTGCTGGGCGTATCGCCGCTTTTGGCCACTGCACTTTGCGCTGTTTGGGCCTGCGGCCATGGCAAACCACCCACAGCCGCGCCATCACGTGGCAACGCTCCCGTACTCCACGCACGTCCGCGCCTTCCACAACAACATCATCTTTGGGACTTGTGTCCTCCTCAACCTGCTCAGCATCGCCACGTCTGTTCCGTTCTTTCTGCACGCTGCCCAGGATACCATGGTGTCCACCTGGCTCTCCCACTTTCCAAACCACCCAGCATAGGTGTGTGTGTGTGTGTGTGTGTGTGTGTGTGTGTGTGTGTGTGTGTGTGTGTGTGTGTGTGTGTGTGTGTGTGTGTGTGTGTGTGTGTGTGTGTGTGTGTGTGTGCTCGTCGTTATGTGACAGCACAGCGACGCAGCGTGCACAGTAAACAGCATTGACACAAGCAGCACAGCACAGACAAAAGCCCTCATCGTGAGCTGGATTGTAGAATTTCAGCCGAAACTTCAACAAGTTTTCTACAATCGCCTCATCTCGCTCCCCACCAACAACAACAAAGCATCCACCCTCGCTCACTTCTTGCTTGCTTGCTCGCTCGCTTGTGTTGCTTGTGTTGCTTGTGACTTTTATTGAACACGATGGAGGAGGTGGCGGCGTGGTTGGAGGCGATCAAGCTTCCCCAGTACGTGGAAAACTTCAAAGACAACGGCTACGACGACCCTTCCATCATCACCAGCCTGGACGATGTGGATCTGGAACACATTGGCGTCGCACTGCCTGGACACCGCAAGCGCATCCTCGTGCAAGGTTGTGTGTGTGTGCGTGCGTGTGTACGTGTGCGCGTGTGCGTGCGTATGTGTGTGTGTGGTGATGCTGGTGGTATCGTGCTCGCTAGTGCCTTTGGGGTTTGCATGTCACCAACCCAGTACTGCTCACATACCGCACGCGTGCAGCTGCCCGGTATTCTCCCGAAGAAGTGCAGCGATTGAACCAAGTCAAGGCAAGCCAACAACAACAGCAACAACAACAACAGCAGGGCAAGCCGGCAGCCAAGCCCCGGCCGCAGCCTCGCTCGCGCCAATCAGAGAGCGATGGCAAAGACTCGCGATCGCCCAACGACAGCCTGCCCGCCGTTCCCTCAGCTACAAAGAGCAGCAACAGCAACAACAGCAACAGCAGCCCGTTTGGTCGCCCGCTCAGCGTCGTCAACGATGTACGTCCATGGGTTGTAGCGGCGGGAGAGCCTGTGCGCATGAATGCTGGTGTGTGTGCGTGTGCGCGCGCGCGTGTGTGTACTGAATACTGTATAAGTGCATGCTAGAGAGAGAGTGTGTGTGTACGTAAGCAGCTAGTGGTTCTCTGCTCATGTTTTGCTTGTGACCTACGCTGTTGTATGTGTGCTCATGCGCCGCTCCGCTGTGTGCTGTGCGCCACCAGACGCCCGAGGATGTTGCGATTCAGCATGAGGGCACGGCTGTGATCCGCCCGCTGGCCATCACATCTGTGGTTACTGCAAAGGAGGTCATTGACATGTTCGTCAAGGCCACCACCCCCATGAAGACCGACCCAGACAACGTCTGGACTCTCTTTGAGGTGCGCACCAAAGGTGTTTGTGTGTGTGTGTGTGTGTGTATGTGAGTGAGTGAGTGTGTGTGTGTGAGTGAGTTGAGTGAGTGAGTAAGTAAGTGTGTGAGTGTGTGAGTGTGTGTGTGAGTGTGTGAGTGTGTGAGTGTGTGTGCTTCTGCGTGTGCTTCTGCGTGTGCTTCTGTGTGTGATACGTTCGTCCTCGTGCGCTCGTGTACACGCGGGTTGGGGAAGTTGTTTCATGGCTGGACATCGCCACATGCCCACCGCCAATCACGACGACGACCTTGATGCTTCTGCTGCTGCTGCTGATGATGATGATGCTGCTGCTGCTGCTTATGATGATGATGGTGGTGGTGGTGATGACTCTGATGATTGCTACAGACGTTTGAGAATCCGCCCGTTGAGCGCCGTCTTCGTCCAAACGAATTCGTCCTCAAGTCAAAGGTGCTCACATGTGCTCACCTGTGCATGTGTGTATGTGTATGTGTTCATGTGCTCATGTGTATGTATGTGTTCATGTGTTCATGTGCTCATGTGCTCATGTGTGTGTTCATGTGCTCATATGTGTGTGTGTGTACTTGAGCTGGCATTCATCGTTCCTGCTTCATCTTGACCTCATGTCCCCCGTTCATTCACCACCACCACCATCCACCTATCACCCATCCACCATATCACTCGTCCACCCTCACCCCCATCGCGCCCCCCCCCCCCCAATTTTCTTTTTCATCAGCGCAACTGGCCCAAGACGGAGGGCTGCCGCTTTCTCCTCCGCGAAATGCCAACTCGTCTCCTCGGCCAGGCCGACAGCAACAAAACCGTGCGTCGACCCGTGGGGAGGGGGGTTGTGTGTGTGTGTGACATGTCGTTTGCTGCTGTCTCTGAAGCTCGTGGCTTGCTTGCAGTGAGCTCCTCTCTGTTTGTGTGTATTGCGTGCCTGTGTCTGTCATTCGCACACACACGCACACACACACACACACACACACACACACACACACACACATCTCACACACACACACACCTGACACGCACGCAGGGGAAGCTTGACAAGCGGGGCGGGCGACACAAGAGCTGGAAGAGCCGGTTCTTCGCGATGCAGGACACCAAAATCAACTACTACTCAAAGCTGCCAACCAGCACCAAGCAGCAGGAAAACCCAGTCGGTACGCACATGCGAGCAGTGCAGGCAACTGGAAGGGGGGGGGGAAGGCTTGATGGCATGCGTGCGGGTACTTGTGCGTGTGGGTATTGATGCGTGTGAGTGTATGCGTTTGTGTGCGCTCTGTTCTCTCTTCTTTCTGTTTTGCATTCATACTCACACAAATGCATTCACTCTCACACACTACCTCCCTCACACACATACAACACATACACACACACACTGTCTCTCTCTCATCCATGGTGTTTTCTCGTTACTTGTGTGCTGTTCATTGTGCAGGTGCGTATGTGTTTGTGAACCATCTTGTGTACAACGTCAAGTACTACAAGAAGGCGCCCCGCCCACATCTCTGCTTCTGTCTCCGGCCCATCAAGGAAAACGCCCCCGTCTGGCCCGACGGAGACGCAAAGGAGGTGCTGCAATGTGCATACGCGCGCGTGTGTGTGTATGCGAGTGTGTGCGTGTATGTGCGCGTGCGTGTGCGTGTATGTGCGTGTGTGCGTGCGCTGTTTAACGGACACTGGCCATGCCGTCCTCGTTAGCATCAACACCTACACGCAGAGTTATTCACTGCAATAACCTCGAGATACAACCGCGCTCACTCCTACCGCAACGTTTGAACGCCGTCATGCACGCTGGTTGCAGGTGTACGACGAGTTTGACAACGGGTGCAAGTTCATCTGCGCGAATTCCGAGGAGGAGCGTGCAGACTGGGTCGCCTCCATCCTCAAGCGGCAACAGGACGTGAGATTACACACACACACACACACACACACACACACACACACACACACACACACACACACACACACAGAGCTGCGTCTTGTTGACGCTGCACGCTTGTTGCTCACTGTTCTGTGTCTGTCCTTTGCCTTCTCTGTAGCTTATTGACCAAGGCGCCGTGTACGGCACTGCTGAGATGCCCATGCCTCAGAGGTGAGCTGGCTAAACAATCAGCCCACGCACGCGCACACAGTGTTGCACACATGTCTTGCTCTGCTCATGATGATGCTTCACTCACTCACTTCCTCACTCACTCACTCACTCACTCACTCACTCACTCACTCACTCACTCACTCACTCACACCTTCATCAATTAACCCTGTTTGCAAATGCAGCTTTGAGAATGACGACGAGGATTGAGGGGAACACCAACACACACACACACACACACAACGCACACACACACACACACACACACACACACACACGCACACACACATCACACGCTTCGCCGCAGTTACGACGTTTTGCTGTATCATTCATTAAAATTCATCAACCACATGCTCCAAACGACAACGACAACGACAACGATGATGCGTGCTGTTGCGGTTGTGCTTGCTGCCCTCATTGCTGTTGTGGGTGTGGTGGCTGAGGCAGCCCACCTACCACCAGCATGGGCCATGAATGGCGAGTTTGGTCAGTCCATGCAGCACCTGCTCACAGACGTGAAGGGCTCTCCACTCTACTTTGATTTCTTCCTGGTAAGTTCACTCACTAGCGAATCTTGTGGTTTAAGTGAGGTGTGAGAATGGAAAACACGTGCGCACGAGTGATGCACAACTCCGCCAGCCATGCTCACACACGGCTGTTTTCTTAACCCACGCTTGCTGTGCGGTTCCTAACCCTTGTTGGCCCCGCCATTACCACCTTGATGCTGTGCTCTTTGCAGGACCACTTTGATCACAGCTCCCCCACATTCCGTGGCCGTTACTACATTGACGACTCCCAGTTCAAGAACGGCTCCGTCTGCTTCTTCTACATGGGCGGCGAGGTGAGACGCGAGTGTGAGAACATGAGCTAATAAGCGTGCTCATGCACACGAGAATGCTCCTGTCCACCTGGTCTAAGGTCTCACGGCTTCGGACATCCTCTCACACCCTGTGAATCCTTGTTCTCCGTGTTGTGTCGTGTCGTGTGTTGCTTCTCTCCAGGGTCCCAACACCGGTATCCGCAACGACTATGTCTCCTACCTGGCCAAGCAGTACAAGGCGCTCATCGTG